TAGATTGGAACTGAGGGAAGGTCTCCTTGAAGCTGTGCCAGCTGAGACTTGAATGGCAAGTGGGGGCCAGCCATGTCAAGATCAGGGGGAGGAGCATTCCAGGCCAACAAAATAGCTCCTGCACTGGTCAGGAGCCCGAGTGGTGAGTGTCCTAAAGACACAGCCAGGAGGAGGTCAGAGGGAACAGGCAGCTTAAAGCTAATAGCTAATTAAATTATTATATAAGTGAACTTATTCAGCAACTTTTGTAGTTTAAATGTTTATGGTCACGATCATTTACATCTTAGAATCTGTGTCATGACTTCAGGATTAGACTCAGTCATTATCCAAGACTCTCACTGGAGAAAGTCAGTGTTTCAAAGTCTGTGTGGTATATCCTGCTTTGAAGCCTCAAATTTCCCATGATAGGATAGGACACTAGTAGTATTTTAGGGAAAGGGTATCTGGTGTAATATTCTTAAATTTGTCTCGGAAGTAATCATGCATGTGGTGAACATAGTAAGAAACAACTTCCTTCATCTTTTAATATCATAATTGCTCTCAAGGATTTTAAGAGCTTATAGACAATTGGAGCATCTGGTTTTAAAATTAACTGGACAAGGAAGAAAGCTATTATGGACAAAGTTTCATATTTTCTTGGATTTTTTTTTTGATATCTGTACAAGAGACCAATGAGTTCCCAGTATAAAACTAGCCAGAAAAAAAAAAAAAAACAACAAAAAAAAAAAACAAAACCAAGCCAGAAACCCAGACCCAGAGAGCATTTGTGATGTTCAGCCAACATAGAACTGCTTCTCCTCCCAAAGGGTGGTCTCCAAATCTGTTGTAGCCTTTGGCAAAATTTTTATATCACAATTGAAAGCAGATGCCCTTTCTGCCTTCTCCCTTATTGCCCAACTTACTACCGTTCGGGGGGTGTGGGCCATGGCAGTCTGGCACACACCTTCACAATGCCCTGCAAGAGACCTCAGTAGACATTCAGAAGTCTTGTGTGAAACACTCTGCAATGGAGAATAGATAGAAGATATGCCAGGTTTGTGAAGTTCTGGTCATCTGGTCAGTGCTTTGTGAATGTTTCTTGTCACAAATGAAAACACCAGTCCTACGGTTTAGTATAAAACACCTTCCTGGGGAAGCCTGGGTGGCTTGGTTGGTTAAGTGTCTGCCTTTGGCTCAGGTCATGACCCTGGGGTCCTGAGATGGAGCCCCGTGTCCCGCTCCCTTCTCAGCCGGGAGTCTGCTTCTCCCTCTGCTCCTCCCCTGCCTGTGCTCTCTTTCTCTCTCTCTCAAATAAATAAAATCTTAAAAAAAAATAAAACACCTTTCTGGACAGTTTCTATTTTAGTATATTTAATCCTAGTAGAAAATATTTCATCTTAAAGGATCATGTAATCCTAAAGAAAAACTAAAACATACTGTCCCTAATGGAGGATGTTGAGTTTTATTCCAGGATATGACCCTCAAATGTGTTTGTATTTTATAGACAAGACATTGGGAATCCAGAGTATCAAAAATCACTGTAAGTTCTTGATTAAAAGAGACTTATTAGATATGACAGTGAAATATAACGTGGGCTTTGTTTGGATTCTGGTGTAAATCAACTGAAATTTAAATGACAACTGGGAATGTTTAATATGAGCTGAATATGAGATGATACTAAACACCACTGATAATTTTGTTATATGTGACAATGATATGGATGTTATGTAAGGAAATGTCCTTATTTTAATCTACAATCAAATACATAGAGATGAAATGTCACATCTATAATTTATTTTAGAACACTTCAGCAAAATACCAACTGAAACAAATATGGCAAAATGTTAGTAATTGCTCAGTCTAGGTGATGGGCTTATAGAGTTTACTATAATATTTCCTCTACTGTCCTGTATATTTGAAAATTTTTTATGATTTAAAGTTTGAAAGATCTCTGCACATTAGTGCACAGACAGTACAGTGATTTGTCAGCTAAGCAGCACTGTTTTGTGATTGTGGTAGATGCTGCTTTTTGTGCCTTCTGTGCTGCAGCTGTAAATAGCAGTGCACCTGGAAACTAGATGATTTCTTCATATGTGGGACATTAGTAAAAATGAATCCGTATTCTCCTCTTAACCACCACCCTCCCCTTCCCCGCTATGCTCTGATTTTAAACTTGGCCTATGATTCTAAGAGGTGAAGTAGTTTGGAGGTAAAACTGAAACATGCAGAATCCTAAAGCTAGTATTTTAAACGTTTTGCTTTGACCTAAAACAAAACAAAACAAAAAAACAACAAAAAAAACAGTCTTAAACTACAGTTACTAAAGTCATTTTTCTTCCTTTCAGAATGTACAATCCATAACCTGGATTACATTACCATATATAAAATTATTGGCACTGTCTCAAGCACATGCTTGTCAATCAATGGCCTGCCTTTTTCCTTTTCTGTTCAGAGAGTTTGAGGAGCTGTTATTAAATCTACCTGTGCTGTTTTTTTCAGAAAGCATGTTTTGGTGGCGCTATATTCTAGTACTGGGTATTGGTAAGACTTTCTTACTTTCGGATATTTTGATATTCAGACCCTAAAAGAAATTATGTTCCCATTTTGGCTGAATGTATTGCCAGAAATAACAAATTCAGTGTTCTTTTTTAATAATAAATTTATTTTTTATTGGTGTTCAATTTGCCAACATACAGAATAACACCCAGTGCTCATCCCGTCAAGTGCCCCCCTGTGTCCGCCACCCAGTCACCCCCACCCCTCGCCCTCCTCCCCTTCCATCACCCCTAGCTCGTTTCCGAGAGTTAGGAGTCTCTCATGTTCTGTCTCCCTTTCTGATATTTCCTACCCATTTCTTCTCCCTTCCCCTCTATTCCCTTTCTTCAGTGGGTTTGTTATTGCAGCGTGGGCCGACTCAACATGACCTGACTACTGGTGGAGCAAAACATGTTGTGTTTTTATTCCTACCTACATTTAACTTGTAAGTTCTCTTTTTCCTTGTTTTTCATCCATACTTAGTGTCAGTTGTAGAGTCAGTAGCAAAGTGTATCTTGCTGTCCCATTTCCTCAGCCTCAAAACTGTAGGAAGCTGTGAGCTGTGAGTATTGGCACCTCATTTATTATTATTATCATTATTAGTATTATTGAGTGACAATGGATATATGGAGGTAACTTGATTTTGAACTAGGATTAAAAATGAAGTCCTAATCATATACCGTCATCAACAGTGCCTCCTGTCCTAAGAGGCACTACTGAAAGTACTCTGGGGTGAAAGGCTTGTAGTGTGGAATACATGGAACTAGAAGACCTGCTTTCTGTCTTAGGCAGTTGGTGAACTTTGTGGACATAGACTGTTACCACAGAAAGTGTTTGGTGAGCATCAGTGAGTGCCATGGATGGCAAGAGTGGTATAGAGTCCCCAGATTGTTTCCAGTTGGGGCCATCATGGCTTCTCAGGGCATAGAAACAGAGAGAAAGGGCAGGAAACTATTTCTGTATGGCTGCTGAGAATCCTGAGAAGTGAGGACTGTTTGGGTAACTCTAAGTAGAGGAGTTTGGCTGGAGGGAAGACTTCCTGGTGGGACTGATTACGCTAAGAGCAGGAATCTGGATTATGGGAAACACTGGCAAGGCAGTAAAAGTTTGGGGCAGTAACATGAGTAAGGCTGTGTGGTAGGGGCTCAGTCTGGCAGTGTTGTCCTCAAAGTGGGTAGGAGGAGAGATTAAGATAGAGATATTGATTTGGAAACCACTGCAAAATAGTTCAAGTGGGAAAAGTAATAAAAGTGTAAATTTGGGTAATGACAGTAGCAATATAAGGAGGGGATGATTACAAGACATGTTGCAAAAGAACTGACTAGATTTGATGACTGAATTTAGGTCCTCTTTGAAAGAGAACAAGAAAATTCATATGAATTTGCATCATCCTATTGATGTAAGCAGTTAACTGTGTTTAATATGCCACATATGACTAAATTGAGAATGTTTGAAAGACAACTTTTAATTTTTTATTAATTTATAGAAAGTCCCACCCTTGTAATTACTAAACTTTGCACAAATCCTAAGAATGGCTGTTCACAGGATGCCTGGAAGGCTCAATGGCTGAGTGTCTGCCTTTGGCTCAGGATGTGATCCCTGGGTCCTGGGATCAAATCCCACAATAAGTTGTTTCTCCCTCTGCCTATGTCTCTGCCTCTTTCTGTATGTCTCTCGTGAATAAATAAAATTTAAAAAAAAAAAAAAAAGAGGAGGGAGCTGGGGAATAAATCCCCTGACCTACTACTCTCTTCCCCCCCATTTCTCAGTGGTTTGTCTTTCCCTAGTCTAGATGGCAGGGAAATCCATGAGGGTAATCATACAGGTCAGCCTCCTGAGGCAGAAAGCAGGTTAGAGAAGAGCAGAGAGTAGAATTGGGGGTGCAGACAGAAGGTAACAGTCACAATTAGCATCCTTTTTTACAATATATAACAACATGGGGTGGGGAGAGGAATGCTTGGAAGGAGATCTTCATAGAATCACAAAATGTTAGGCCTGGAAGTAATTCTCAACCTTGTTTTAGAGATGGGGAAATGGAACTCTATAGAGGTAGCAGCTGGATACAGCTTAATTTTCACAGAGCTGAGATGAAATGACAGACTTTTAGATTCACAGCCCTGGCTCTTTTTAGTAGGCTAAATGGCTCCCATATAATCACAAATTCCCCAGGCCCACAGCACCAGCTCAGCCACTTCAGCAAGGTTGAAAATGGTAAGGAGGTCCCAGTTGTTATTCAAGGGAATGGGTAAGCATTATAGATAAAGCCATTGCAGTAGGACATGTTTCTATAACTGAAGTTAGAGTCATTGTGGATAATCTAGAAAGTATAAAAATTCTTCATTTCTTTCCATGAAAGAGAAACCTATTTAAAGTTTAAACTATTGATAATGAAGATAGAAATGGAAGTCCTTGATGACTAGTTCTCTTTGCATTGGGTTGTCCATTGAATATTTCTCACCTTGTTCCCTGTTCCCTTTCTTCCTAAGTGCTCACCTTCAAACTCTACCAGCGGGCAAAGCATGTGTACAGCGAGGCTGCACGGGTGCTCCAGTTTAAGAAGATATGTGAAGAAGCCCCTGACAACATGGTTCAGCTGCTGGGGGAGTTAATGAACCAGAGCCATGCCAGCTGCCGGGACATGTACGAGTGCAGCTGCCCTGAGGTGGATCAGCTAGTGGACATCTGTCGGTGAGACCAAGAGAGCAGCATGGTGGAGGTGGGGTGGGGGGTACGACACTGCCAAAGAACTTGTTTAAATGAATGAAAAAAATTGGCAATATTTTCATAACCTTCTAAGTGAAAGGAGAGCCTTCTTCACTTCCTCTCTGAGGTGTCATATACAGAGCTGAACTTGTTCTCTCCTAAATATCTGAGGGAGAAAGATTGGAGACCTGATTCTACCACTTTATGAGGCTCCTGGTTTGAAATCAGTTCTCCCATCTTTCCATCTTAGGATGATTTGGTATTTCAAGGAGCTTTTCTTAGACATGGACCCTGCTGTTACTTTCTCATCATATTTTAATCAGTGCTATCTACAGCAATGGTGGCCCTACCAGCATCTTCTATATGGTGTCCAAAGTTTAGTAGAATTATTCAAAAGAAAGTAGAAAACAGACATGGAGGCCTTAAACCTGATGGGAGTGTATTCAGGGACAGGGGAGGTTACTGAAGGAATTACTCAGAAAGCCAGCATTTCCTGCCTTCCAGATTTAGATTAGGCAATTTGGAGAATTAAGGATTTGACGAAAGCCTGGTTTATAAATGGTTGATTGAGACAGAAATGTAAAGAGGAAAACTCTTTCACAAAGCCTGAGAACAGCTTCCTTATAATTGTTAGAGAATGAGGATAAATAAAGGAGTAAAATGGTTACTTTACCAGAAGGGATTTCATTGACCTTGGGAGAACTGAAAGGGAAATTGGGAGAACCCTCAAATGGCTAGATATTATTTCCACTGTAAGAAGATAGTCAGAGCTGCCTGCAATTAGTCATGAAAATATAATTAACCACTTGGCGCCGATGGCTTGCCTCACTCATTGCCACACTCCCAGCCTGAAAAGTTTAAATCAGCTAGCTTCAGTGATCACAAATGGCATGTATAACCCAACTTGTAGAGAGACTTGAACATAGCATTGATGAGGATCATTCTGCTAACGTCAGAGTTTGCTCACTAATTGCCAAAAAGCCTTCCAGAGCTTGTTCTGTTACAAATGCTTTTTTCTGAAAGTATTAAGGGCCCAGTAAATGGAAGGAACAAATATTGTTCAGTTCTGGAAATTAGAGGAAGTAGAATGATTTGTGCAGAGATCAGGAAGGTAGTAGGATAGTTTGAACCCCACCTGAAAGGCAGTGAAGGGGCATTTGTCAGCTTTCTGGAATTCCCTTAAAGAACTTTCTCTTCCTGGGATGCCAATTAGCTCTTGCTCTTTTGAAGCCTACATTCTCCTGGGGAAAGAAGGAGGTAACAATTAAAAATAAATTGAGTGGTAGTGATAAGTGCTCTGAAAAAGAAAATAGAAGGGATAGAAAGCACCAAGGTTAGGGGGATAATCTTTCTAGGAACTCTGAGATGATGTTTGAGCAGAGACCTGAAGGAAGTGAAGAAATGAGAACAGCAAGTGCATAGGCCCCAAGGTGGGGATGTGGTTGCCATGTACGAGGAGGTTGGAGGGCAGTAAAGGAGAGAGTAGCAGGTGATGAAGTAAGAGAGATAGTGGGGACGCATACCACATGGGCCTTGTAGGCCATTGGCAGGACTCTGGCTTTGGGTGGAGAAAGGTGGCAGTGCAAGTGCTAAAGGATCTGATGATCCAGATACGCCTTGAAGGAAGATTCATAACGTTGCTCTGTAGGTGAAAGACAGGAATCAAATGACTCTTGGGTTTTTGGCCTGAGAAATGTTCCTCATTTCTGTAAAAGCCACATTCTGGGATGGCAGATTTCACATTGTGTGGTCAGAATGATCTCACAGTACCATAAGGTAGGAGGGTAGGCAGGGCCCTTTGATATCTGAGACGGCACTAAGAGGTTAAGTGATTTGAACAAGTTAACGTAATAAGTCTGTGCAAAGCCTAGCTCCTGATCCAGTGTTTTTGCCACACCTCTTTCTCTCCCTTTGAGTTTACTCAGATGTGAAATGTGGGTCTTTTTTTTTTTTTATCTATTTTCCTCTGTTGGCTTTAAAGCTTTAATAATGGAGGCTTTGGTTGTCATAGTGTGTGGTGTTGGAACATTGAACAAAACCTTGCTGAGGCGGGGAGGCAGTGTGTGGAGTGGGACAACTGAGTTGAAGTTAGGAAGGTTGAGTTTCTAGCTCTGCCACTTTTCCTTCTGAGCTCTGTGATTTTGGACTGTTGTCTTATGATCTCCAGTGTCTTTTTCTGTTCTAGCAGTCCATAGGTATATATACATATTTTAAAGATTTTATTTATTTATTTGAGAGAGAGAGTGTGCACATGCAAGCAGGGGGAGGAAGCAGTAGAGGGAGAGGGAAAAGCAGGCTCCCAACTGAGCAGGGAGCCTGATGTGGGGCTCCATCCCAGGACCCTGGGATCATGACTTGAGCCAAAGGCAGGTGCTTACCTGACTGAGCCACTCAGGGGCCCCAGGTCGATATATTTTTTAAAATATGGTTCCAGGGGCACCTGGGTGGCTCAGTGGTTGAGCATCTGCCTTCAGCTCAGATCGTGATCTTGGGGTCCTGGGATCGAATTCAGCATCAGGCTCCTCATGGGGAACCTGCTTCTCCCTCTGCCTATATCTCTACGTCTCTCTGTGTCTTTCATGAATAAATAAATAAAATCTTTTTAAAAAATTGGTTCCAGTGTAAGATTTAGGGCTGTGTCCTAAAGGGGAAGAGCACCTTTTATTTATTATTTCATTTATTTGTTTTTGGAAGCTCCTTTCTTAATAACTTTGAATTTAACACTTAAACATTTTATTTCTTAAACTATTTCTGCCTAGCCCATTTTCATCTGCTGTATTGTTTTTCTGAGGAAAATTCAATTCTGTCTAATATAAGGAGTGCACTCCCTTTTTATACAGTTGTTTTTATTTGGAAAGTCAATTGCTAAGCATCAAAAATAGTTTCTACTTAAGCATATAGGGACCAAGTTTCCAATATCGAAACATTACCTTTTGGCATGTTGTAAATATTGGCCAGAATAGTTGTCTGGTCCTTGAACTTTTTATATAATTAATTTTTTCTTTGCTGCCACTGTAACCAGCAGATAGTCTTCAGATGTTCGCACTGGTTGCCAGTTACAAAGGTCCTAAGTGGCAGAGCAACCTCAGAGGATAGCCCACAGGAACTAAAGTAGATGCAGTCATTGATGCCATTCCTTCCATGAGCCAGCAAATACTTTTCAATAGGGTGTTTGTGTCGTATGTGACAATGATGTCTGAACTCCACTTTCAAGAGCTCTCATGCTTTTTTGTGTTGTGGATGTAAGCGGGAAGAGAGAAGAATGCAGAATGAAAAAGATAGTGGTGATATAGGGTGGTTAAAATTGGGAGACAAATATGGGTAATAGAGAGCTATAGATGGTAAAAGTGTAGAAAGGTTCAAATGAAAAATGAGACACTCTTAAGCCTTGGTTGCTCCTGAAGCTTCATGACCATTGCACTGGGCCAGGCAGAGGAGGCACTGGCTGTGCTGCGAAGGATCCTCGAGAGGCCTGGGGCACTGGTACATAAACTCAACTTTGGGGAGAGTATTATTTTGTTTAAGAATCATGATCATCTCCACACTTCCCTGTCCCCTTTAAAAATGTTAACGACTAAAATAATAAATAAATAATTAAAATAAAATAAAAATATTAACACCAGTGGAGCAGATGTAACTATGACTGGGAAGCCTGAGAAGATTCGTTGCCTTTAGTAGAAAGAAGAGGGCAGAGGGAAGCTGAAATGGGTGCAAAGAGGAACAAGGCCAAAGACAATCTTTACTCCCTGGTCCACTTTAAAATTTCTTTGCTTTTCCTGAAGGCCTGCTTGGAAACTATTTGCGTGAAAAGGCAGCTAACTGATTGAGTTAATGAAGGATTTCAATGTCCACATACCTAGGGCATTACATACGAGCTAAAATCTTTTTTTAAGTTTAATTTTTAAAAAGGTTTTATTTAAATTCCAGTTAGTCAACATACAGTGTAATATTAGTTTCAGGTATACAATATAGTGATTCAATACTTCCATTCAACAGGCAGTGCTCATCACAAGTGCACTCCTTAATTCCCATCACCTATTCCACCTTCCCCCCACCCCATAACCATCAGATTGTTTTCTATAGTTAAGTCTGTTTCTTGGGTTGCCCCTCTCTCTCTCTCTCTCTCTCTCTTCCCCTCTCCCTCTCCCTCTCTCCCCACTTTGCTCGTTTAAATTACACATTTGAGTGAAATCATGTGGTATCTGACTTATTTCACTTAGAATGATACTCTCTAGCTCCAACCATGTGCTTACAAATGGCAGGGTTTCATTCCTTTTTATGGCTGAGTAATAGTCCAGTGTGTGTGTGTGTGTGTGTGTGTGTGTGTGTGTGTGTGTACATACATACATACCACATCTTCTTTACCCATTCATCAATAGATGGACATTTGGGCCACTTCCATATCTTAGCTATTGTAGATAATGCTGCTGTAAACACAGGGGTGCATGAATCCCTTTGAATTAGTGTTTTTGTATTCTTTGGGTGAATACCTAATAATGTGATTGTTGGATTGTAGTTCTATTTTTAACCTTTATTTTATTTTTATTTAAATTCAATCTGCCAACATATAGTATAACACCCGGTGCTCATCACATCAAGTGCTCTCCTTAAGGCCTGTCACCCAGTTACCCCATCCTCTCGTCGACCTCCCCTTCAGTAGCCTTCAGTTTGTTTCCCAGTGTTAAGAGTCTCTCATGGTTTGTCTTCCTCTGATTTTTCCTTATTCAGTTTCCCTTCCTTCCTTTATGGTCCCTCGTACTGTTTCTTATATTCAGCATATGATATTTGTCTTTCTCTAAGTCAATTACTTATTTCACTCGGCATAATACCCTCCAGGTTCCATCCACCTTGATGCAAATGGATATTTACATATCCTTTCTGATGGCTAATATTCCACTGTATATATGTACACCACATATTTTTAACCTTTAGAAAGGTTAAATGCACCAGCTTGCATTCCCAGCAACAGTGCAAATGGTTCCTCTTTCTCCACATCCTCACCAACACATGCCATACAAGCTGAAATCTTAAGGTGATCTAAGCTAGACTATATTCAAAAGACATCTCTTGGTAGCCAGCCTCTAGGGACAATGTGTAAGAAGCTACTATATGACCCAAGTAGGGAGAAGAGGGAATGAAAAGAAGGGATTTTTTTCAGTTGAGCCTTTTCCTGTCCTTTAAGAGAAAATCAGTTTAGCATTCAAAGAAAGGACCAGGGAGGGAGAAGGAAACTACATTTATGCATTTAAACTGTTTATTATTTTTATTAAATTAACATCAGAAAACCTCAATTATGTGAAACAAAGAATAATAATGAAAGAAAAAGATGAAGCTTGTCCAATTATAAAATAACTCTACTAAATGAACAAAATATAAATTTTAAGAAACAGCTAAATTGTAAAGTAGGATTCATTGAGAAACTAGAAGAATTTTGAAACCAGGTCAGTTATATGTGAGACAGCTCATTTGTTACTGGTTTTCTTGGTTATACTTAAGAAAGAATAGTTAATGCCTTTTCTTTCTGTTTTGACACTTGCTGAAATTAGAGACCTCATTGCTGCATCAATGTCCAAGCTATTAAGGAAGATGAATGACAAATGTTAATAGGCTAACAAAGATTAGAAAAGTTAATTTGCTATCCTCCTCAGAAGTCTTTTCAAACTTTATTCCACAGCTAAGCTGCTCAGCCTCTTGTACCCATTCTCCTGATCAGTCAGGGAAGAATGAAGTGTAAACCCATATTTGTATGTTCCTTTCCCCATGATCTTGAGGCTAATCTTCACACTCTGACAAATAAAGGGAGAGGCCCATTTCATCTGCGCTTAGGAGCGCACTCTATTAGGCTCTCACTTCTCTCTTCCACTTACTGTCCTCTCCAGTCCCCTCTCCCCCTGCTACACATTTGTAGGAACAACTGGTCTTTCATAGCCTTTAGTGGCTTACATTTCTCGAATAGACTTGTAGTTGTATTTTCTTATACTTTCTCATTTGAACAGTATTTGAAGTCTGTGGTTTTTTTAATCTAAAGTAATCTGTAAGTGTTTCTAACTTGGCTATAAAAGTCATAGAAATTGTTCTGGAAGGTCTATTTTCCTGAGAGATTCTAGCCAGAGGATTCTAGGCTGTAGGGCAGAAGCTAGAAGTCTTTCCAGATTACATTACTGGCAAGCTTATATTTATATATATATAATATACATAAGTGAGCTGTCTCACAGGTAACTGAAAATTGTTTTATGTGCCTCGGGAAATTCTATTTTAAAATTTGGCTATTTCATAAAAACCGTATTTTGTTCATTCAAAAGAGATATTTTATAATTGGGTAAACACCATCTCTTGATTATTATACTTTGTTTCACATAACTGAAGTTTTCTAACATTAATTTAATAACAAAATAAACAGTCTGGATTGATATTTTAAAACAAATAATCCAACAAGCATGTATTAGAAGTTACCAGATGCCTGGAATTGTGCTGGTCTGGGATTAGAGAGATACAACCTGTCCCTAAATTCAAAATATTCTGTAATAATTAACTTAATACTCATGTGTATAATATATAAATATTTTGAAATAAATAAAATTGATTTAAAATACAAGGCATGCAAGGATTCTTTGTAGTTTATAGCAAAGTTGCCTCTTACTGCATCTTCCTCTACCCTCCCGCATTTTTTTGTGCCTTATATCTTACTAAGTGCTTTATGGTCCAATCAGTTCATTTAAAGTAGGAAATTTTAGTCAATCTGTATTGGGTGCCTGGAAAATTAGTTATATGAATGTACTTTTCAGTGATAAAAGGATCAAAGGGAGCATTCTTTATAATCTGCATCTTTCATCTGCCCTAGCCTTTGTTTTGTAGATCATGCTTATAATAAGGCAGAGGCTGCTTTTGTGTTTTGGCCAACCCTTCCACATTATTTCCAATCCAGTCATCACAAAGTATTTGGGGGATTCTAGAGTTTTGATTTTCCTAAGTCTTGCATTGCTTCTCTGATGTGCAATAGCTCAAGGATCTATATTTTTAAAGTCTTATTGTTGTCACAGGGAAAACATGGCTCACCTACTTTTCTTTCTTAGTCTGAAGCTTATATTGGTCTCCTAACTTGAGGATTTCTCCCTGAATTTCTATGGCATATGCTAAAGGGCATACTGAAGAACAGTTTGGAACACTGCAGACAGGACCTTTCTGACTTTGGGAGTGTATATAGCTCGGCAGCTGCTGACCAGCTACTGGGGCAGCCCCTTGATGTGTGAACACAAGAGCCACTGACTCGGGCAGAAGGCTATTTATAATAGCATTTATCATTTTCTGAGAAATTTGAACCCTGATGATTTCAGATCATATGGCTGATGCTGCCCAGTCCATTTTCATCTGCAGCAGACAGGGTGGTGACAGAGCAACTTTGGAGACTCAAAAGTCAATAAATTTACCCAGAAAGTCTTCAAGTTTCTGGAAACTACCAGGATGCTGAGGGAAACAAGCCCTTTGGCATGATTCCTATGGGTTTTGTAGTCAGTTAGAAACAACATTCAGTTTGCTTTAGGTTCAGTTTTGAAACCACAGCTTTCAGAAACTATTCAAATGAGAAAGTATAAGAAAATATGCCATTAAAGTCTATTGAGGACCATAAAGGACTGGATAATTTGAGTCCAGCATAATGGTAAAGCATGAATCTTAGAGAATCACATAAGAGGGCACCCTGTTGTTCTCTATATCAGGCCACAGTTGGCTTTGATGCCCTGATTTTAGGATCTTCCAAAGATGCCTCCACAACACTTCCTTTTTTTTCCAGTATCTTCCATGGGAAAGATAGTTTGGGGTGACTGCATATCACAACTTATTGTTTTGTTTTTTCCTTTCAAATCATTAAGTTGCAAAATAACCTTTTGCCAGCCTGGACCTCAATTATCCCAGAATCCCACAATCAGAAAAATTTTTCAGCCTGGATGATAGGAGTCTGGGCTCAATTCAGCTACTGGGCTATAAGCTGAATGTCTGAGGGACAGCAGGAGATGAGTAATTTTTATTTATTTGCAAGCATCTTGTTTTCTTCTTTAAACATCTATTCATTTGAAAAATATATTTAATGTGTAAAACAGATGATGAAAAGGAATCAATTGAGAAAATCATTGAGGGGGAAATGAATTACTGGTGTGCAAAAATCTGGTGTTTTAGAGGACGGTTAATATTTTACTGACATTTTCTCGGAAGTGAAGTAGCTCATTTAGATGTAAAAAGGGGGACAGGATTGTGCTAAACTAATTATGGAATTTTTAATCTGCTATGAATTTGGAGTAAATTTTATTAGGAAGAATTGGAAGTACATGTGAACTTATATTATCAGGATAAATTACATCTTTTAAAGATGAGGGACCCTTGTGCTTTGCGTTAGGGCCTGTAACTTTGGTACAAAACTGTGCCTGGTTGTTGGTGAATAAAATGACCTCTTTTTGTGTGGAGGTTTAAATGGTGGTTTCCATCCTGATCACACATTTTGACTGATGGTAAATTCTGAGTCCAGTGGTTAGACAAGTTCCCAAGAGCACAGGGAAGAGGCATTTGGAACTGTAGAGAACACTGTCCTTTTTGTGGAAAGGTCTGTGTGACTTCCTATCAGAGATTAAACAGACAGACTGATCTACAGTTTTCATTTATTTATTTATTTATTTATTTATTTATTTATTTATTTATTTATTTAGTAAATTTTTTTATTTATGATAGTCACACACACAGAGAGAGAGGCAGAGACATAGGCAGAGGGAGAAGCAGGCTCCATGCACCGGGAGCCTGACGTGGGATTTGATCCCGGGTCTCCAGGATCGCGCCCTGGGCCAAAGGCAGGCGCCAAACTGCTCTGCCACCCAGGGATCCCTGATCTACAGTTTAATAGCATGTTCTTTGTTGATAAATTTATTCAGCACAAATCTAGGCTATCTGTTGTAGGGGACGGATTCTTTTATTTGGAATAGCCAAGCCTTAAGAACAGACCTTAAGTAGCCACTGGAGGAAGACCTCTCTTGCATAAGGCTTGCATTTTAAATTTCGATTTGACCTCATTTGGAGTCACCTTTTTTTTTTTTAAGGTTTTATTTATTTGGAGCATGAGTAGGGGGAGGGGCAGAGAGAGGGAGAGAAAGAATCTCAAGCTGACTCCTCTCTCTGAGTGGGGAGCCCGATCTCATGACCCTGAGACCATGACCTGAGCCTCAATGAAGAGTCGGAAGCTTAACTGACTGAGCCACCTGGGTGCCCCTGCCTGCAGCCACCTTCTGATCCATAATGTTGGTCATGTCTGTTGCCTATTGCTTTTTACTCCTTCTTGATCACCTGTTAGCTTGCTATATACAAGTGTTCCGTTGGTGCCTTTATGGAATCAAGACTATATAGTGGGTTACTGCCAGCTCTCAGCAGCCAGGAGTCCTGCTAACTTCTACTACTTAGAACCAAAACCATGGCCCAGTTTTAGATACAACTAAATTTCAAATCACCTTCTGAAACAGTATACATTCATCATGTCCTAAAATGTTTGCAACACTGAACTACCCCCCAACACACACACAAGGAAACCCACATATATTCTCTGCTTAGGACTTGGGTGTTGTGTTCTTTGGAAGCACCAGGCAAACCACTCTCATTTGCATTTACGGGTTCTAACATGGGCTTTTTTCTCATTGTTTTAGGAAGTTTGGGGCTCAAGGGTCACGACTCACTGGAGCAGGATGGGGAGGCTGCACAGTATCCATAGTACCTGCTGACAAGCTGCCCAGCTTCCTTGCAAATGTGCACGAAGCCTATTACCAGAGGAGCGACCAAGACTTCACATTTGAGAAGCAGAGTTTGTTTGCTACCAAACCAGGAGGCGGGGCTTTGGTTTTCCTTGAGGCCTAAACAATGTAAAAAATCTCAGAGAAACTATTTAGGGCATTTAGGAACTGGCAGAGCTTCTTATGCCACAGTAAATTAATCCTCTTTCTGTTTTGTATTATGATGAACGGTTGCTATTATCAAGATGTATTTCCAAAGAAACGGTTGAAAGCTCTCTATGCTTCATAATGATTGTTTTTCCATCTTAAAGTATGTTGTCTACCAATAAGAGCCAAAATTATGCTTGGACAGTTCTCTTCAGGATGATTTACTGAGATTTATTGACTTCAAGATTTTTAAAGATGAATGATAAAAGACACTCAATACTGACCTCACGGATTGGATGTGAATTAAACATACTGCTACAATTAAATGGATACAGTTGCATTGCCTGCCATATTCTTAAACACAGTTCATTTCTGGTTTCTCTTGACATTCTTCTTTGCAGTCGTAGTCTTCAATTGATGATGATGATGATAGTGATGCTAGAAACTCTTTCTCAGTTTGAGCTTCAGAATGCTATTAAAATAATACATGATTAAAGATTCACAAATTGTCCTGGACACTTGTATGTGAGCTTACACCAATTATCAAGATGAGAAGACTTACTTTCTTTTTTAAAGCAACAATGGATTTAGATTCATTTACTTTTTACAGACTATGTGATATCAAATAAATAATCACTTTCTTTTTGGCTCTGAGCTTTCTCTATTACTTAATAGAGAAACTTAGCTAAAAGACACTTGCTATCTTTATCTCTATTCACATTGAAATTGAGAATTATCTGGATGATAATTCAGATAATTCAATTTGATCATAGAATTTGCTTTCTTCCCACTCAATGCTAACTTCTCTCCAATGCTCTCTGATCCAAAAGGCCTGTTTACCCTTCCAGGAAACCCCACCTATGCCTTGCAACTCTGTTGTGTCTAGCAGGTCTCGCTTGTGCATGTGGACCAGTGTAGGACAGGTGTGCAGGTCTGGGATTGGGGAGGAGAGTTGCTGAATCCTGTATATGTTTATCAAAAGTGGTCAGAAGTGTTTGGCCTTGTGGTGATGCTAAGTGAATGACTTTCTCACAAGAGGGCCTTCCTGAATTATATGAAGGTTTAGACCAAAAAGCATTTTGCTGATATGATCAGATAATTAAGGCAGCAGCAGTCTTATGGTATGAATTATCCAGAAAATTATCACAATTTTGTATTATTCTTTGGTTGTTTTGCTCACTGATGTACAACTTAAAGACTGGACATCATCATCTTGAATCTTCGTTTCAGAGAGGTTAAGGCAAAGCTGGTTCTAGTATATCTCAAAGGACAGCAGGCATATATTGGATACTAAGAAATCCATTCTTCTTTTCTAAAATAAACTTCTGGTGCATTTCCATTCTTTAAGGTAAACACTTGAGAAAGCTTAAGTTAAAGTTGTTGAAAGAATTTTGAGTTTTTATAACACCCAATAATCCAAAATCTGAATTGATTTTAAATTATAATTCTTTGTTGTTGTTTTAAGATTTTTTTTATTTGTTTGAGAGAAGAGCGAGGAGGAGCAGAGAAGGGGGGCAGTGAGGGGCAGAGGGAGAGGGAGAAGCTGCACCCCCCCCCGCCCCCACCTGCATGGATCCCAACACAGGGCTGGATCCCAGAATACTCATGACTTGAGCCAAAGGCAGATGCTTAACTGACTGAGCCTCAGATTATAATTTATTGTTTTTTAATACCTTTCCATTTTCCACAGAAGATCTGTGGTTGGTACATAATTATTTAAAGATACCTGGATTAATGTAAAAAAAAAAAAAAACCCAAAACCCCCCAAACAAAAAATGTGGTACTTTCCATTGCTTTGCTATTCCATTTAAATTTTTCACCATGAGATACCTTCTTGCAATAGGTGAGTAAAAATTTCCATCGTGCCTCTGCTTTGGAGGACACAGTTGTTCTCAGCCAGGGATCTATTCCGTATTTGTCTCGTCTGGCTTGAAGGAAAGAACTATTTTTCAATCAAACCATCACTGTTATTCTAGAAATTATGAGAGACATCAAACTTTTCTGGAAGGGTTAGGGCTAGGGCAACTGGTAAAAAGCTTCATGAAGAAAATGGAGTTTGAACAGGGCTAAAGGATGAGCAATGTGTGAAAACTGGCGAGTAGGCACTGCAGACGGGCGAATATCTGATAATGGTCATACATGGGATGTGCACAAGGCTCAGTGGGGGTGTGGAGTTTGCCCTGGGATACAGTGGAGAAGAAGATAGGCTGTCCTGGCTGCAGATGGCTTTTGAAGAGCTCCAAGTCCAGCATTTAGAGGAGGGGTTGCAAACTAGCAACACATAGGCCACATCTGGTCTAGAGATACATTTAGTTTGGCCCCCAAAATATTCAGACATTTGGAGTTCTAACGAGGAATTCTACGAAGAATCTGGATTACTGATGGCAGAAGATCTGATTCTCCCCTGGCCTCCACTCCTGGGGATGACCATGAACTAGAGCTGAGGTATAGCTGCTTTGTTTTGATGACAGGTGGACCCTTCGATGACAGGGGGTGCTACAGTTTCCACAGCTTGTAGCTTCCCTGATACTCAGGCCACGTACCATGTGCCAGCTGAGGTCACTTGCCCTTCACCAGCACACTGGCACAGTGGTTTTCTTACACTTCATAAATAATTCTCTGTACCCATGTCTCTAACAGTAGTAGTTAAGGGAGACTGAGAAGAATGAAAGAGAATTTTGTGTGCGGAAGTAAAGAATAGTCCTATTTGTTTAATACTAAATACTCAGGTGTTTTACTCCCTTCTCTCACCATTCTGGCTCATATAGGAACTTGATTAGATTATTTGAGCTCTGTTTTTGGCATTACAACAGTAGCTAATAAGGATTGTTCTAGATGACATGCTAAAAATAAAAAGCTCTCTCCTATTCCTGACCTCAGATTGTCCAACCTTTAGATTTATTGCACCCTTTTCCCTACATGCTCTTGCCTGCTGGAAGGGAAAAAGAACCTTTAGATTTAACGGAACTGCCCAGAAGTTAAGGAGGGAGTGCAAAAGGAAGGGACAAAGAAGACTGGAAAGACAGAGAAGGCTCCTTTTCTTTTTCTCACACACTTTGAGTCCCATTTAGAACCTTGTAATTTCTGCAGGGACCATTCATTTAACACAGTCATTAGAAACCAATATATTTTTGTTGAATTATTAACAAAATAAAATATGACTTCACTGATAATTTTCTATTAGTTTGAAATTTTGACTGCATTTGGAGCTTTTCAGTTGGATAAACTGCCTGTGGTCAGAAGCAAGGGATGAGGGTAAGTGGGCATGAGGCTGCTACTAATCTGAAAAACAGGGATTATCTTAAATGTGCATGTGGATGATTAAATGACAATAGTGTATTTTACCTTCCCACTGTATCTTGGATGTGAAACCACATATTGCTTATTAAATATTGTCCAGGCCATGTAAGAGAAGCTAGAGAGAGAATTCTCAACTGTTTTCAAAAAGGAAACATACCAGTTTATGTAGGAACTTATCAAAGTCATTCCTAACTTCGTAAGGTTTCTTGGTAGCCTTTGCCTGGAGTCTGGAAAAAAAAAAAAAAAAAAAACGGTAGCCAAGCCAATTGTTTTTATACCGACACCAACTAATCACCAACATTTACACGAAATTTAATATGCTGGGTATTTGCCAGCAATTTACACATATTCATTCAATTACCCTTACAACAATCTTATCAAGTAAGTAGTATTACTATCCAGTATTCTAAATGAAAAAGGCTCAGATAGGTTAATTAACCTGCCCACAGCCCTATAGCCAGCAAGTCATACAGGATTTGAACGCAAGCAGCGTGACTCGAGCCTTTAATTCAACCACTGTGTGACACTGCGTCCCAGGAGTGCAGCATTCTCGTCAGTGAGACGGTTTGCACAATATTTGCTGAACTGATTCCGCTTGCCTGGCTCCAGTGCAGACTTGAAGGAGTGTCCTAAGGGACTGGCAGGGGAACGATCTGGGGCGGCAGGGAGGGTGGGGGGTGGGGGGCGCGGATAGAGATAGTGAAGGCTGGAAGCTCATGGAGGAATCCCGGAGTCTATCCTGATTTTTGTCACCAAGTACTCATTCAAGAAATATTTATGAAGGAGTTGGACAGCTGAATTCAGGAGGCAGGAGGAACCTTTGCAGAGATCTGTGGATGCGGGGAGAGGCAGAGAGGAGTAGGCTGAGGCTTGGACGGGTAAGAACTTGGGACAAGGAGAAAGCAGTATTAGCAAGAGAAACAAAAATGAAATAAAGATATATGGCTATTAATTTCACTGGCAATATTCAAGGGAGACATTTTAAAATTCTTTTTCCTCCATGGAATTTGTAGGAAGTAAACATTTCTGAAAATTCCCAGTGTACTTTGCTAAACCATGAAGTATAGATTAGCCACCCCCCCACCCCCCCGCAAGGCATCTTCTGGGTTTCTTTAGCAGGTAGTGGGGGGCACCCCCTGGGGCACAGCAGGGCTGGCTCTTGACCACCCCCTGCACTTGTGCTCGGCCACTGACAAATGCCCCTTGCTTATTCTCTGCTTTACCTCTACCAATTTTATCTCCTCCACTGGCTTTTCTCCTCACTAATGATTACCCTCTGGGCTCTCCTCCTGCTTTTCTCAGATCTGGCTTTCACAGTGTGGGTCTCTTTGTCATAGTCCTATTGAGACACACTCCAAAATATCTCTGATGTCCTTTCTCGGTAACACCCTCTTAGGATCTCCTTGAGATGGGTGTTGGACTCAGACTCTGGTTCCACCTCACTTTGTTAGAATCAAGCCATCTTTGGACTCACCCTTTTAATTTACAGCGCCCCTCTTTCTTTTTTTAAATAACAGTTTTATTGACATAGGTCTCATACCATAAAATCCACCTTGTTAAAGTGTACAATTCAGTGGGTTTTTTTTAGTGCACTCACAGTTTTGCAACCACCACCACTCCCTAACCCCTGTCTTTCTGCTTGCCTTTCCTTTCCTCTCCATGAGTATCTCTTCTTTGAAGATTACAGATAGAAATGTGTATGCTGTGCCTATAGATTTAACAGGCACATGAGATTGATATACGAAGGTGTATTTTCCCCTTTTTTCACCCACAATGTCCCATTGCATAAAACATATTTGAGCACTTCTTGCAAATTACTCTGTCCTACATTCTTCTGTTGTATTCTCAGTGATGAGAAATCCTATCCCATATAGATTTGATTTTGGGGAACTTGTAAAAGTCACCCGGAATCAGATCTATCTATCTTTCTTTTTCTTTCTTTCTCTTTCTTTCTTTCTTTCTTTCTTTCTTTCTTTCTTTCTTTCTTTCTTTCTTCTTTCTTTCTTTCTCTTTCTTTCAAATTTCTTTCTTTCTTTCTTTCTTTCTTTCTTTCTTTCTTT